TTGTCGGTCTCCAAAGGTAACAAATGTGTAAAAATGTTCTGCTAAAATTTGCCTATGTGCCTAATTTTGTAAAAATACTAACACTGTCTTAACTTTTTCAGGGTCAGTTTTGCGGTTTATTTACTTGTTATGCTGTTGCTCAGTCTTCATGTTTCATTCTTGTGTTTACCTTTCCAAAACTATTTGTTCATTTACTAATAGTTTTTATTTTGTTTTCTTTTTTTTAATAATTTTTATGTCATTATTTGTTGTGTTATTGATTTAAAGATTGTGTTTCAATTAGTGTCCAGTGGCGAATTTTTGTGTATACATGGAATTAAGATAAAGAAAAAGTTGTGATAGCTGTCTTTCCCTTTAATGAAACTGATTTATTAATACTAGTGAATGTTTTCTTAGACTTTGTTTTAAATTAGAGCTGTAACTTTTAACAAATTTCCGACTTATTTCCTTTTTTGTGTTCGATCAAATTTTGCGTTTTGTTGTTTTCGTGCATATTTTGTGTTTTGTTCTGGAAAAACCGGATATATGTCGCAAACATCGGATATTGTTGGACGATCCTTATGAGAATATCATAATAAAACCAATTAAATACAATAAAAAATCTAAAACAAAGTCCCAAGCTTCTATCTTCAAAAATACCAAAGTTGGTATTTCTACCAAACCGATCATTCAGTTATATGGCAGCTATTAGATATAGTCGGCCGATCCTTATGATCCTTGGTGGGTTGGATCAACTGACCAAAAATATAATCTGTACGAAGTTCCAACTTTCTACCTTCAAAAACACAAAAGTTGGGTCATTTCCGTTTTTTCAGTTATATGGCAGCTATAGGATATAGTCGGCCGATCTACCCGAAATTGAGTATGTCGTATTATTTTGCCAATAATAGCATTCATACGAAATTGGATACAAACATACAAACTCTCTAACTCTAATAACACCGAAATTATAGCAATTCCGATCAATTAGTTATATGGCAGCTATATGATATAATTGTCCGATCTGGCTGATTTTAACATATTATTTTAGAATAAAATAAATAAAATAAAAATATTTTGAGCCAAGTTTCAAGTCCCTACCTTAACTAGAAGAATTTTGTCAGCTCTTTTCATACAAGCCGGACCACTGTGCAACGCCGCTTGATCAGAAATGCTTTAACGTCGGTGTTTTTAGATATTTCGAATTTTGTATGAAGTCTATTTTTGGCAAAAAAATTCGACCTACCTAATTTCATAAGGATCGGCCGACTATATCCTATAGCTGCCATATAACTAAACGATCGGAAATAGTATTTGGTGTTTAGTAAAAATACCAACTTTAGTATTTTTGACGAAAGAAGCAATAAATTAATTGGTTCTATTATGATATTCTCATAAAGATCGGCCAACTACCGATTTCGGCCAAATGGTGACCGTGTCGAAGGATAGGAAAAGAACATAACCCAGAAACAAAATTTGCAAAACTAAAAACCGGAAAAAATAAAAATTGAGAATAATGGCAAAAAAAAAAAATATGTCTCTGAGTGAGTAGAGTGAAGTGCAACGCAAAGGTGTACGCAGAAAATTAAAAAAAAAAAGAATGGTGTGTCATAAAGACACGCGATAGAAGTGAAACTGAATGATTGGATCGGTAAGAATTATTTAATTTTCTGTTAGAGGAATCATTTTAATCACGTGTCAAACACTTCTTGATAGTAAATTAAAACTTTTCAATGAATATGAATATGATGAATTAAATCTCAATCAGCTTTACCTTCATTCTTTGGTAGACTCTCATGAACGAAATGATAGGTTTGTGGTAACTAAAATAGGTAATGAAGACTCTTGACTCCAAACTTTCGATGTAACGTGAGAAAACTGCATCAATAGTGGTACCATGGTGATTTTTTTCATTTCCAATGACAATTTCTGTTGCAAGAACTGAATTAATGGCTTGGAATCCTCTTTTTCATTTTTAATGAAAGATCCTAATGTCATTTTTAAACCATGATCTATCACATACACGACACGTGAAACCGAATGGATTATTTATAAAATCACGGTGAAAGTTCTTATGTGCACTTTTAAACTTATTAAAGTCTGAATATTGTAATCGATCACCACTATGTTCATCACAATCAGGAGGAGGATGAGTCGAAGTCGTTGCTCATAGTTCATTCTCTGAATTATTTACACTATCGTCCACACTGTCACGTAAGAGGTTAGCACGTGTTTGCCTTCGTTCCCTGCTATCTCGTTCAATTTCAGTTCTACATTTTTTCCGTTTTCTACTCTGATCCATTCCTTCACTCGCCCTTTTTTCCTCCCGCCACGTTTTTGTCCTTTCTGCACCCGACTTCTGCACCCGACATATTTGCACAAAACTCTCGATTTAAGTAATAAAGACACGCAAAAAAACAAAATACGTTGCTTATGATCACTGTGTTAGAAACCAACAGCAGTTTTCCGCGATCGCGACGCCGCCTGAACGCAGAGAATGACATGGAAGACAGAAAGTCTTCCGTCTCATTCTCGCACCATACACGAAGGGCTCTCATTCTCGCCCGATAGACGCGACGTAAGGTAGTCCGTCTCGCTTACTTACTACGTTAGAGCGAGCGTCACCAAAAAGGTTGCCGATCGAGATTTCAAGACCGTCCCATTAGAAGTTTTACTTAAAAAATAGCACACCTCAAATGGTTGCTAAAAACAAGTACACCTCCCCCAGCGTGGTCAAAAGCGCAAAAAATTCAAGCTAACCTTGACTTTCTGAAAATAAAATGAACAAAAAAAGAAACCCAAGAATCTGCAACTCACTCTGAACCCATACCAACAACTCATGAACAAAAAATAATTGAATTTATAACCCCCAAGCAACTACCGAAAAGACCCGCCGCCGGACTACCCCGGACCATTGTGCAGTGCTACCTGTGCCACTGGAAACCAACAGCCTGTGGGGAGACCAGCACCGGCATCGCCTGAGCCACAACAGCAGCAGAAAATCTACAAAAGCGAGGGGACAACCGCCTCTTGCGTCCCCGACGGAACATCAACGTGACACGCCCGGCGACTTCCATCCGATGCAATTGAAAGTCAAGGATTAATGAGCGAATTAATTAATATAAAATATAAAATTATAATAAGACAAATATAACACATTCATGTAAACCTTCACATTCAAGCGCGGAACCTTCTCTGCTCAATCATAAGTATAGCCCGTAAGACTTTACGCAACCGTGATAGGAAAACATTTGTAAAGACGACTTTCAAATTTCAATAAAAAAAATATTTAATATTAAATTAATTAATAATAACAAGAAAGGAAAGCTAACTTCGGGCGGAGCTGAAGTTGATATACCCATGCAGGTAAAACATCGGCTAACCAATTTATTACAATAAAATGTCCCAAGCTTCTATCTTCAAAAATTCCAATGTAAGTATTTCTACCAAATACCATTTCCGATCGTTCAGTTATATGGCAGCTATAAGATATAGTCGGCCGGTCGTTATGAAGGTTGGTAGTTCGGATCAACTGACTAAGTATAGAATCTAAATATAGAATATAGAATACAGTTATATGGCAGCTATAGGATATAGTCGGCCGATCCTTATGAAATTTCGCATGTCGTATTATTGCCAAAAATATTAATGGTTTTTTTTTTAGTGTTTTATAAAGCTATAGTCTTCTTTTGAAAAAGTAGATATGGTTTTTTTTTATTAAAAATCTTTAAAATTTTTTAAATTTAAATCCATTTTGCACTAGTCTCACAGCTAACAGATTCAAAGGTTTTGAGGTTGCCTCTTTAAATAATGAATTTCTTCATAAGCGCATAAAAGTGCCTTTTCATATATCACTCATATGAAGAAAATTAAACAATCTACAACATGGACTAAATTACAATGTTTGACTCGGCTTGACTTAGCTAAATCTCTTTTTAAAAATGAGATTTAATTCTAAACATTTTTTTGCTAGACTACTTACATTTTCCATTTATTAAAAAGACAAAACAGGTTTTTTGGACACATCACATACACAAACACATAATACAAACCACATTGAAAATTATTCATTTCAAAACTTTTGATTTTGTACATAAAATGTTCACTGTTGTCGTTTTTAAAATCGCTCCCAAAATCGTAAATTGTAAGCTCATGTAAATGTCAACATCAACAGCTGTTTTTAACAGCTGATTTCTTCGCAGTGGCGCCATCTATGGAAATTTCTGGCATGCAACATTAAAAATTTATCTATTGTGAATGATATGCAGTTAAAATTATTTAAATTCTTTGACTTTAAAAAAATGATTTTTGGAAAAAAGGACCCAGAAAAAGGGGTCCAAATTTCTTATAGTGCAGTTTTTTTTCCCCGAGCTCAAAAGTCTGCAACAGAAATTGTTTCGCTTTAGTTAAAAAAACATTTTTTATTAGTTTTTATTAAGAGTATTATTGTTTTAGTTAAAGTATACGTGGAAGAAAGTAAGGTGTGTTGTCCTCCTGTTTTATCTTCCACCGCGCCGTTATAAGTACAGCCGTCCTTTCATCTTTTATTATTATAATTTTTATAATTCCCATAATTCTAATTAGTAATGGTAAATCTCTTGTTGATATTTACGATATATGTACATACATATATCCGATCCGATAAATAACTTTAATACACATGAACAACCCTTGAACTGATTGGGTACATACAATAAGGCTCCGCACAAAGTTGGCATTCCTTTATATAAGTTTTATAGCGATAGCACATTTAAAAGTATTTATGGACGCGGCTTCGTGCAAGCAGACTCACTCAGTAACTCAGTTCCTTCTTTTAGGCATATTTCAAATATGAACTTGGCAAATTTTTTTTGTTTTGAAATATGTATGCTTATTACATACTTATTTTTTAACATATTGAATAAATTTTTTAATAACATCTCATTTCGTTAATATACTGCTTTTTACAGAAAGCACTCCATAAATTTTTTGAATGAAAAACGTTGTTTTTGATTTTATTGTCACAATTGTGTGTTACTTACATGCAAGTTACACTCAAACGAACATAATTTTAGGCATATGTATGTCCTCGTGTTAATTTATAAGTTACATTACAAATTAAACTTTTAGATCCAAATAAATGTAATACATCAGAATTGAAAATATTTTTTTATATCAAATATCTAGGAGGCTGCGCGGTAGATGATAATTCAGGAGAGAAAAAGCTTTAGAGTGAGAGAGAAAGAGACAGTGTAAGAAAACGACAGTTAATAATCGAAACAATATCGTACAATATAATGTGAAAATTTATTACACGGGAATGCAAAATATTTATTCAAACTAATTTTTCATAAATTGCCGACAAACAACATACCAGTGTTTTGCTTAAATCCTTAATAAAACTTTACTTTGATGTAAAAAGTTTGACTGATTCGCAAGAAACGGTCGATTTGTGAATAAACTTCGTAATAACAATAGATTCTTTTGACTTAGATATGAAAAATATACAATTATTTCAAATTCTTAGAAATTAGTTATGTACCATATATGAATACGAGGCTATATTTTCTTAAAAAGCATCCCTTTATCCCAATCGACTTGGAAAAGACCTCCCATTCCTAGGTGCCAGGAGTTCAAATGTCGCTGAACTTTGTTTGGAGTTTTTCGACATTTTACAATGAAAACCAGCATGAAACCGAAAAGAACACGTGAGTCTATGCCAGGGTTGAAGCAGAAAATTGTTGCCTCTTTCCCCTAGGAATTTCCAGCCTCTTTTGAACGTCAAATTCACGCCTATTTCCCAAGCGAAATTACCACCTCATTCCTTTGTTAATTTACGCTTGGGCAGGATTATCGTAATTATTTTCATTATGAAATTAAGGCTCGAATCGCGGAGAGACAAAGAAAAGTGTAGAAGATTACGAGTGTTGACCAGATAAGGCATGAATAATAGAAATTTTAAAGTTAGAAGTAGAGCAAAGAGGAGCTATATGGTAGGGACCACTGTAGTCCAAATACCCTCAAGGGATCATGGTGGACATATATTGAACTAATGGCTAAGGAGTAGAGGAAAATAGTTATTAGTCCTTCTACTAATATATAACGTTTAATTTTTAGCGGGTTAGTAGATTAGTAAAAAAATATACCCAGAATCGTTTTATCATAATGGACATATATTGACTTAATGGCTAAGGAGTAGAGGAAAATAGTTCTTAGTCCTTCTACTAATATATAACGTTTAATTTTTAGCGGGTTAGTAGATTAGTAGAAAAATATACCCAGAATCATTTTACCATTTGTTAAAGAGAGTAAGTTTATTAGTAAAAGACGGCTAAGTTTCGAGTGAAGGTGTAGATGTTAAATCCTAGTTAAATCCTCTAAGAGCAAATAGTAAGATATTTTTTTGGTACAGATTCTACGCGGTCTTGGTGAACATCATATTGTGGAATCCAGAAACATGAACCGTAATAAACGGACAGGAGATATAAATAGCCAATAAGTAATTATTGGCCTACGAATAAGTAGTATTCGTTAAATTCTTTGAACCATCTTTTAATAAAACTAAACCATTGTAGAAATATGGTCGGTGAATTTGAGTTTAAAGTTTAAAAGTCTAAGTTCGTTAAGTTGAGTTAATTTTTTCTATTTTTTCTTACGCTTTGTAAAACCAGACTGACAGTTGAGTTAATTTTTTCTATTTTTTCTTACGCTTTGTAAAACCAGACTGACATAGAGAAATGATTGAAGAACAAAGGTGTTGCAAATAAGCAGTGATTATATTTTCAAATAACTTTTGAACAGGGTACACAGGGTAGGGCCTCTGTATTTAGCAGCATTGGTTTTTCCCCTTTTTTTATTCAATCAAAATGTGAAAGACTCCTTGCAGTTAAGGAAAAGAGTCGAAGTTTCCAAAGAAAAGTTAAGAAGTCTAAGTAGAAGTTTGCACAGACCCCTGAAAAAGTATTTTAGCACACAGCCTGGTACTGGTACATCGGGACCTGGCGAATAAACAGGCTTAACCCCTTGAAAATCCATTAATAAACTTTTATCAAAGAGAGATGGACACAAAACAAGATTTGCTGATTGAATATTAATGCATATGGCTGATCTGACGATTAAAGAGGTTAATATTTGGTTAAAAAAAATTGTGCGAATAAATCGGAAAAGACCTTATCAAAGGTTGTAGATAAATCTGTAAACTTCGCTGAGTGTTTACGAAGTAATAAAACTGTCCCGGATCCTGAGTAAGTTGAATCCGGCAGAAGCGAATAAAATTCTATACCATAAACCGTTACAGACGGTGAAAAATGATCGTACCATTTAATATAGTGGAAAACCTAAGGCTGTCACTTTTTTATATTTAAGTAAAAGTCTGTTTTTAGTTTTATTTTAGTTTATGAGGCCCTTTGTAAACCAAGGAGGATTATTTGAAGCGGACAGATATTTTCACGGCACACATGAATCGAACTCTGAGACTGATTTATTGTGAATACACTTAAAATTGTTTCAATGTTTCAACTTAAAAACAAGAAAGAAAAGCCCTTACTTCGGAAAGAAGATATATAAACCGGATAAAACCGTATATATATCGAAAACATCGGATATAGTTGGTCAACCCTTAAGACCCAAATTATTAACCCAAATTTATTACAATAAAAAATCTAAACATGAAAGAAAAGCTAACTTCTGGCGGAACCGAAGTTGATATACCCTTGCAGTTAAAACGGGATATATATCGCAAACATCAGATATAGTTGGCCGATCCTTATGAGAATATCATAAAAAAACCAATTAATTACAATAAAATATCTAAAAAAAAGTCCCAAGCTTCTATCTTCAAAAATACGAAAGTTCATATTTCTGTCAAATACCATTTCCGATCGTTCAGTTACATGGCAGATATAGTCAGCCGATCGTTATGGTAGGAAATTTGGTAGGTCGGATTAACTGACCAAAAATAGAATCTGTACTAAGTTCCAGCTTTCTATCTTCAAAAACAGGAAAGTTGGGTCATTTCCGATCGTTCAGTTATATGGCAGCTATGGGATATAGTCAACCGAGCCTTATGAATTTGGCACGTCGTATTATTTTGCCAAACATAGCTTTCGTGTAAAATTTGAACTCAGACGGACAGATGGACATGCTCATATCAACTCAGGAGGTGATCCTGATCAAGAATATATATACTTTATAGGGTCGAAGATGTCTCCTTCACTGCGTTGCACACTTTTGGACAAAATTATAATACCCTCTGCAAGGGTATAGCACGAAAGGAAAGCTAACTTCGGGCGGAGCCGAAGTTGATATACCCTTGCGGTTCAAACCGAATATATATCGCAAACATCGGATATAGTTGGCCGATCCTTCAGATAACATCATAATAAAACCAATTAATTAAAATAAAAAATCTAAAAAAAAGTCCCAAGCTTCTATCTTCAAAAATACGAAAGTTGATATTTCTACCAAATACCATTTCCGATCGTTCAGTTATATGGCAGCTATAGGATATAGTCGGCCGATCCTAATGAAATTTGGTAGGTTGGATCAACTGACCAATAATAGAATCTGTAATAAGTTTTAGTCGGCCGATCCTTATGAAATTTGGCATGTCGTAATGTGTTGCCAAAAATATCTCTCGCTCTAACTCTTAAAACGCCAAAGTTATACCATTTCCGATCAATCAGTTATATGGCAGCTATAGGATATAGTCGGCCGATCCCGGCCGTTCCGACTTATATACTGCGTGCAAAGGAAAGAAGGGTATGTGCAAAGTTTCAAGTCGATAGCTTTAAAACTGAGAGACTAGTTTGCATAGAAACAGACAGACAGACAGACGGACATGCTCATTTCAACTTAGGAGGTGATCGTGATCAAGAATATACTTATATAAGAATATACTTTATAGGGTCGAATTTGTCTCCTTCACTGCGTTGCACACTTTTGACCAAAATCATAATACCCTCTGACAGGGTATTAAAAACGGTTTTTGGCCAAAAAGAGTGGTTTCCTTAGTGCAGCGGTGGGCAAATCGCAAATTTTATTAACATTTGAGTGTGTGCGTAGACAAAAGAAAAAAAATATAGCAAAACACAAAGTTTTGTGTTATTTTGTTTCTTCGTCGTACAATTTTTGTAGATAATGAAAAAAAATAAGGCACTTTTTGTTTAATTCAGACCCTGCAGTACTGGGCCCTAGTTTGGAACTTGTAAAATATGGAATTACCACAGACCACCCCTACCTACTTTAATCTCTATACACAATGCATTTTCTCATTTCCAATTTCGTATGAAATGTCCGCAAATAGGGCCAATCGCCACCACATCGTTTACCCGGGGACTAATGAAATAGTACCATATCAGTAGGGTCAGTAAAATAACTATTTACTTTAGACTCCATGTCAGTAAAATAACTACTTACTTTAGTATTTACTTTTTTACTCATTATAATGTTGGGTATATTATTATGTTCTATTATTATTATATTTTTCTGCAACTGGAACAATGAAAACAAGAAAGGAAAGCTAACTTCGGGCGGAGCCGAAGTTGATATACCCTTGCAGTTAAAACCGGAATATAGAATAGAATCTGTACCAAGTTCCAGCTTTCTATCTTCAAAAACACGAAAGTTGGGTCATTTCCGATTGTTCAGTTATATGGCAGCTATAAGATATAGTCGGCCGATCCTTATGAAATTTGGCATGTCGTAATGTTTTGCCAAAAATAGCACTCATGTCAAATTTGAACTCTCTAACTCTAAAAACACCAAAGTTATACCATTTCCGATCAATCAGTTATATGGCAGCTATAGGATATAGTCGGCCGATCCTGGTCGTTCCGACTTATATACTGCGTGCAAAGGAAAGAAGGGTGTGTGCAAAGTTTCAAGACGATAGCTTTAAAACTGAGAGACTAGTTCGCTTAGAAACAGACAGACGGACAGACGGACATGCTCATATCAACTCAGGAGGTGATCCTGATCAAGAATATATATACTTTATAGGGTCGGAGATGTCTCCTTCACTGCGTTGCACACTTTTGGACAAAATTATAATACCCTCTGCAAGGGTATAATTACGGCTTTAAAACGCTTCCTTCCTTACCGACAAAAGCTATTGATCTGGAAACCATTAGACCACTTTCCCGTAGAATAGGTTAGGTCTAATGACCGCCGTATAGAGCTATTTAACTTGTTTTGGGTGAATAGTCCATT